GTTTGTGTACATGTTCGGTAACTCATGAGGAAAAACAAGTTTGTTCTGCTAATTGTCTGAATATGTTTTGTGTAGAGGGACGGATATCTGGTAGGGAAGAGGTGCTAGCTGACTGTCAAGCTGTGTCGTCTTGGTGCTTAAGCTGTCTTGATAACTGAGAGAGAGAGAGAGAGAGAGAGAGAGAGAGAGATAACTGACGAGGTAAGATTAGGTCAAGACGAAATGGTACGTGCATAAACGAGGACCAGCTGTGTTTACTTAAAGTGTATGGAGGAAGGCATCTCTCTCTCTCTCTCTCTCTCTCTCTCACACAACATAGACTTTTATTACAGTAAGCATAAATAAAAAAAAGCTAGACGGTAGATGATAGTTAAGAGTAAAATGACTTGACTTCAGATGCTGTGTTTTTGAGGCTACGAAAATTACCTTCTTTTAGGAGGGGTGGGGGAGGCTATGACTGAGTTGGTTAGGTCTTGGGATAACGTCAGGATGGTAGAACAAAGTGACCTTGGAGACAATATATCCTCTTAAGTCCTTCTCCCACAACAGGAACAGCGTATAAAATTTAAGTTCAGTTCCAGTGTTACAGTTAATCCCTCATCTAATGGCTGTGTGTCTCAGAAGAAGCGGACAATGTAAGTAATATTTCGAAATAAAATTCCCCAAAACATTAATAAAGAAAGAGGACGAATTAACTATACATTTACTAAAAGTGATGATATATATCTCGGTCAGGTAACAAAAGAAGGTTAAAATTACTTTGACGACGAAATTGCTTAATTCTGAAGAGCTTTTTCATAAAGCCTTAACAACATCAACCTAGAGAAGTCGACTTGTGAAAGAGACATAGGGGTACTTGTCAGCCCGGACCTAAGGCCTAGAAAACAGTGCGTTAATGTTCGAAATAAGGCAAACAGAGTATTGGGTTTTATATCTACAAGTGTAAGTAATAAGAGTGCAGAGGTCTTATTGCAACTATATCTTGCGCTAGTCAGGCCGCACCTCGATTATGCGGTTCAGTTCTGGTGTCCTTATTATAGAATGGATATCAATTCACTGGAGTCGGTGCAGCGAAGAATGACGAAAATGATTCCGGGACTGAGAAACCTTCCATATCAGGATAGGTTAAAGAAACTAAACTTGCATTCCCTAGAAAGACGAAGAGTGCGGGGAGATATGATAGAAGTATTTAAATGGGTGAAAGGAATCAATAAAGGTGTCATGGGTTGCGTTAAGCTTACCCACGCAACCAACTCCAAAGTTTGTTCTACTAGAGATAAGACACCCGGCGAGGCATAACTGGGACATGTATTTCACATTAGTTTATGTTAGCCAGCCTTTAGGGGGGGGGGGGGGGGCAGTGAAACAGTGTTGTACTGTTCATCGCTTCACACCCAAAAAAACCTCATTTTAAGTAGTATCCCCTGGACCATGGCATAGTTAAGATATCGTCCCCATCCTCTCCCTCCTGAAAGGGGGCGGGACACCACGCCACACACAGTCCTCCACAGCAACTCCGTCCTGTGAACCGTCGTCGACACGAGACTAAGCGTGTTAACCTAGGTTGTTATCCCCGTGGAAATATCACGTGTGGATGCCTGGTTGCGACAAGAGCAGTCCAAGCTGACCTATCAAACCTACAGTAAATGGTTAATTAATTCACGCTTACAGAGTTCTCCTGCACTACACCCGTCTACAGTGACCGTGATCGACACGAAACTAAGTGTGTTAACCTAGTTTTGTTATCCCATGGAAATATCACGTGTGGAAGCCTGGTTGCGACAAAAGCAATCCAGGCTGGTCTATTGCACCTAAATGGTTATTCAAGTCATGCTTACCAGTTCTCATTGCCGCGACAACCGTCTACAGTGACTGTCAGTGACGCGAGACTATGTGTGGTAACCCAAGAGTACCTTTTGTTGTTATGTCCGTGGAAAGAAGTTCTTGTGCGGAAGCCTGGTTGCAACAAAAGCAATCCAGGCTGGCAGTAAATGTATCACTTGAAGAATTAAGGCTCTGTGAAGTCATACCCATAGTAGAGTAATCACATGTGTCCCCAAGTTAAAATTCTCTTTTAGAAGATTAATTTTATTACAGCGTGAACGTGAGTGATTCACATATCTATGCAAATTGTAAATCATTGTATGGAAGCTTGACAAATAAATGTAAGTGCAATTATCTGCCCATATCTGTGATCCTATCTTATTATTACTAAAGGTAATGACTGATTGGTTATGACAAAGTATAACCAATAACTGAGATAGATGTTGGAAATTAATGGAATTCATTAAATCATCATTTATCAAGTATAAATCATGGAATGTCGAGTGGTGGAGTGAACTTCTACGTAGATACGCCATAATCTCCTGTAAGTAACCAGTGTGAAGGTATCGAACTCTACGGTAAGAAATAAGAATATGACATATTATTATCTTTATATTATATAATCCACTCCTACTACCACCGATTCATACTAAAACCATGACAAAAGGCGATATAGATAAAGTTCTTATAATATCCGAGCAGGATAGGACTCGTAACAACGGATTGAAGTTGGATAAGTTTAGGTTTAGGAGGGAGATAGGAAGGAACTGGTTCACAAATAGGGTGGTGGACGAGTGGAACAAGCTTAGCAACTTTGTAGTAAGTGCTGGAACGCTGGAAAGTTTTCAAAGGAGGCTAGATAGATTTATGGATGATAGAAAGTGGTAGTAACTCTCGACAGGAGCTGCCACGCACAGGCCAACCGGCCTATTGCAGACTCCTTTTTTTCCTTATGTTCTTATGTTCTTAGGTTACGAACTGATAAATCGTTACTCTGACGAGCTGTTATAGACATATTAACGTGATTTTCAATTTCCATGGAGTTCATATGTTAATTTATATTATTATTTTTTACTTCACCAAGAGATTTAGCGTAAAAATAAGAAAAAAACGAGTACCATCATGACTTGGAAACACCACAGATATTTATTCAGGGAGTCACCCGGCCCACTGGGATATGACGGACGCTTCACCGCCCGGGAGTACGTCGCCGCCCTCGATCTTGGACGCACTTTGAGGAGGCAACAGGTAGGCACGTTCACTCGCCTGGTGTACGTATTTTTTTTTTACTTTAAGCTGAGATAGTAGAGTCGGTTCATTCACTTCGTGTACACATACTAACTTAGACCCGTCCATGTACGGTAATAGGGATGTGTTCAGACGGATCGTAGACGACGTTCTTGGATACTTCCAGATGAGGCTATAGGGTACGTTCACTTGTACCCTGGACGACAACCTTAGCCACTTCCAGGTGAAACAAGACGAGATCAGGCACATTCAGGCTTTAACTGGTGGTAGTTAGGTCGACTTGGTCCCTGGTTTAATGTGACCATCATGCCTGGAGGGCGCGTTTGACAGGCGACTTTACTGCCAGGGTCTCTCAACCTGTTTATATCCTTACAGCAACAGCCACACACTTCCTTGTTACTGCCGCCTGACATTAACATAATGTTCATATTATTATTGCTTACATTGGGGAGTGCCATGGACGTGGGAGTGCCATGAACGTGGGAGTGCCATGAATGTAAGGCGTGCCATGAATGTAAGGCGTGCCATGAATGTAAGGAGTGCCATGGGCGGGGTGAAATGGACGGTGTCATAGATTATTATTATAATTATTAGTATTAAGTGTTATCATTAATTCTTTATAATAGTTCAGCTATTTAATACTCAGGGAACATCAAACACTGCCTTGCTACAATAGTCAATCAACAGCCTCCACTGTATGCATCTAATACGCGCGCGGACTTGGTGTTTACAATGTGTGTCGTGACGAGAAGGAATGAATGGTGAATAAATTTCTGTAGTGTCACGGGAAAGAATATCTCTGTTTAAAATATAGTTTGTGGGTACAAAGTTGGTACGATAATGTGTGAGTGTGTGTGTGTACCGAAACATCTAGTATATAGTGAGACTAAGGGCTTATAATCCAGCGTCATATCAACTTTGAACCACTAAACTGTTTTTCACTTTAACACTATAAAGGACTTGGGGGAAGTACACACATTATTCATAATTATTCAATCAAGGTTCGGTTGGGGTGAAAATCCTGTAAAAGTATGATAAAGCTGCGTAAAAATAGGCGAGATAATGCTCTACTTTTACGGTGGTAGTTTTAAGGGGGCGACGTGAACATTTTAGGTTTTATTCATTATAAAATATTGGTTAATATTATATGAATTTTTTTTATTGAAGTAAATGAAACTTAACTCGATCCAAACGTACTTTATATAGTTGAATGTTTAGCGTCATTTTAAGGGAAGGACACTAACCAACCAGCATACAGTATTTCGCGGTTCAAGTGGTCTTCATGGCCCAGCCCGAGAGGCTCCAGGTATATATTACTATCAGTCTAAGCTCTTGACGACTCTATTAGTTTATTTTAATTCTTAATAACATCCACCAACGTCTAGTGTAACTCTCATTGGTATTCCACTCTGCGTGTTTCATCCCCAGTGTCTACAGAGTGTAAAGAATACAGAGAAATTCAAGAACCGTAGAAACTTGGTGACTCGAAGCAACAGTTGACAGAAACTCTCTTCTAATACCACCAGTGGACGTTATTTCCTTATTATTTCGTTCTATTTCGTAATTCCCTTTTGAGTTCAACGTAAAATCTAACGATGATTCCTATTAAAGTTTCAACCAACTGATGGAAAAGTTACTGGTGTGTCGCTTAGTATTAGACCATGCTGGCACATTTAAGTTGCATTAAGGCATACGCACAAATGTAGAAGACGTTAATATCAGTGAGTTTTCTATGCTTGTGGTGCAGGTCGCACGGGGAACATTCTGTAAACATTACATTAGTAAGTTTTAACTAATCGTATAGGCATTTAATTTTAATCAGTCAACACGTGTCTCCCAACTACAACCTTCTGACAGTTTCCTAATAATGCAACGATAAAATAGCACCCCATAAAAGATGACCCATATATAAATATAAACTTGGCAACTGCAAGGTAGAGTCGTGGCACCGTGAGCTAGGGAGCAGACGCTACGCTCAGCGAGTGTGCTCCACACTTCCCTGGATATTTCTAAACACCTTAGTTCCAACACAGTTTTCTGATGAAATTAAGTTTGACATAAGAGAGAACTTCATGTGTGAGGTAGGGAAATTTTGTTGTGTTATTGTTTACATCACATTTATTGTATTGTTGCTATGTAATAAGTGTCAAACTCGACTGCTCCACCCATCTGGTGGTGGCCCATGCCTCAACGATGCTAAAATTGGATACGTCGGCTTAGATTATGTTGCAGAAGAAGGTAAGTGACTCAGTGCACAACTATGTGCACAAAATTGTTGTTGGTAAATGTTCGTAAGTGAGTGTCATGTCAAGACGGTTGTGTTGCTGTGTATCAATCGAGGGAGTGAATGAAACGCCCCGCCCCACCTCCCATGCTTTAATAAACTTAGGGTCATGGGAACGTGTTTTCAATATGCACCGTCTACATTGTTTTACGTGTTATTATAGAGTTAATGTCTCATAGGTTGTTTATTATACTTTTTATAAGTGGACACAATCAGTTTATTCAAATGTTTGTGCGTCTGGCAGCAGCATGGCCTTGGATTGTGAAAACGCAGGTAATGTACCGTTCTGAAAGTTCTAGCAATCTGCATTCATACATGATGACAGTTCCCTACGTCCCTGGTAGTAATATCTATACAAACTAAGTTTAAATGAAAAATAGTTTCTACATGTTGAAGCTAAATTTAAAGCCGTCTAAAATCTAAGCGTTTTGTGAACAGGAAACAGTGAGCACTCATGTTACACCAGAACCAGCACCACAGTTGCTTATTTGTATTTTTTTGGTCTAGAAATTGTCACTTCTTCCACACCCCTTCACACACTAGTGGGGTCACACTATCTTCAGCCTTCTGGGATGTTTTTAACATTTCAGGAATGTAATTAAAGATGCATATTAATGAATGGTTCAGGTTCTTCAGTTAAAGGTTCAGGTAATGACATGACTCACGTCTTTCTTAGTGCAGAGTACTTACAAGAATATTTTTTTGTTAACATGATCTTAATGTCAGTCGTATTAGCCGTTTACACGATATTTAACCTGTTTTCAAAGGCGATACAGAACAGCTGAGATATACTCTTTAGTGTTCTGTGAGAAGACAACTGTCAATATATATAGTAGACCACGTCCTTCACCAAACTAGGCTCTGTAAACACTCACTACAGTTTTTACACCAAACACTAACTTTTAAAATAACAGACAATAAATGTAGTTTATTTTAGAGATATTTACTTTATCGGGTTGGTATAGTTTGAGGCGAGTCACAGAATACATCAGCTGGCGGACTATTTCTTGCTGGTTTAAAACTACGCACCTCAAACTGTTGTCCTTCAAAAGGCTTCTGTAATTGTTTATTAAACTTCGATGTCAATAATTTCGACATTTGATAACTGAACTGAACTAATATATTTGTTTTGACGTACTACTGTTTAATAAATTTCCCATGGAATAAATTGTGAGATGCAGTTTAACTTGTTCAAAACAAATTAGAACAGATTGGTGTGCCTGTTGAAGCTCTGTGATAGTCATTAACATATACAATAAACTCATTCACATGTATACGCTATCATGCAAGTGTACACGTAGGCACACACATTCATGCATGTTTTATTTGGAATGTGTTTTTTGGTAATTGAGTATATACCTTTGTGTGCGTTTGTGTACTTTTACATGCATGTGTTTGTGTGTTGATTAGAAAGCATACTGTAGTATATATATATATCGCTACATACAAAATTTCTTCAGAAAATTGTACCTCAGTGTCCCAACGTCAAGCCATAGAGTAAGCGGCTCAGTAACCTCTAACATCACCTCCCGCCCATTATGTTACCAGTAATAGAGGAATATAGAATTCACAACATTTGGCTGCTTACAATACTGGGAAGATGGCCGTGTACTTGAGTACCATAGTGAGGTAAAGTTGATTATCGTCTGGTAGTCCGTCACGCCAACCCATCACCTCAGCCGCCCCCAGTCACAATCTTATCACCTGATACTAGTGTGAAGAAAGGTTAGTTTGAGTAATGATTTGTAAGTTGAAGTTTAGTTAAGAAATAGAAAGAAAAGCTTAATACGGAGAGGATTGATTTATTATTTGAAGGGTAGATAAAGATTTATTTGATATTGTAAACTTTTTTCTAATTTCTTCAACGCTTGATGATTATTTATCAGGGAAGGATTTGTTGACTTATATTTTTGTGTTACTATTTTAACCTTATGGTGAAATTCACTGAGCTCACTTTAACAGCCACATATTACGGTGATCTTATAAACCTGAGTCGTAATGTACATATTATTATATTCGGTAAAAATAGTCATAAAAATTCACATTGATTCGACCTGTATATAAAAAGCGGAAGTAAACAAACGATTGCAAACGCCAAGTAGATTCAGTGAAGTAGATGTGTCTCCCAGTAGTGTCTCCCAGTAGTCTCCCAGTAGTTCGTACTGGGGGAGGAAGCGTGTGACAGGCGATAGCTGCATCCTGGGTTCGTCACAACAAGTATCAACGAGGAAAGGTATGTAGGGTGGGGCATGGTGCCAGCTGTGCTCTCAGCCACCATACCCGGGCCACGATAGACTGTGTACCATACCCGGGCTACGATAGACTGTGTACCATACCCGGGCTACGATAGACTGTGTACCATACCCGGGCTACGATAGACTGTGTACCATACCCGGGCTACGATAGACTGTGTACCATACCCGGGCTACGATAGACTGTGTACCATACCCGGGCTACGATAGACTGTGCTACGATAGACATACCCGGGCTACGATAGACTGTGTACCCCGGGCTACGATAGACTGTGTACCATACCCGGGCTACGATAGACTGTGTACCATACCCGGGCTACGATAGACTGTGTACCATACCCGGGCTACGATAGACTGTGTACCATACCCGGGCTACGATAGACTATGCCATCAGACTAGAAGAGTGGGGATAGGGTAGACGGGACAGGAGAGGATGAGTTGGACGGGTGTGGTTGTATCTGGTGTCACATCCTGCCGACGAGACTAGCGGCCTGACACCAGGTCACACACACACACACACACACACACACACACACACTCAATGACAATTTCTTATCTCTCACTACTACGTTTCACAATCAACCTCATCTCTCTCTCTCTCTCTCTCTCTCTCTCTCTCTCTCTCTCTCGTTAACAACATACTATACTAGCTATTGTACTTCTAGTTACAGTAATTTTCAAACTAACTTACTGAACTGACTTCCTGTACTTGACTCATAAAAACTGATTGGTGTGTGTGTGTGTGGGGGTGTGAAAGCTAATACGTTCATTCATTCATATGTTTAATCTCTTTAAGTCCTTTGATTACAATTAACAGATTACAATAGGTGATCAGGGTAGGTGAAGCCTTAGATGTCCAGCCTGAGACAACCATGTATGGAGGGAGGTGACTGAGGGGAGGGGGTGAAGTGAGAGGGGAGTGGGGGGTGGGGCTCACTATCACTCCGTGTCTGGACCTCACTGGAACCTGGGACTGGTGAGAGGGTGGAGTCGCGTGCAGGGAGTGTCGTGTGAGTAGAGTTGCGTGCATGCGGGAGTGGCGTGGTGCATGAGCGTCTATCACCAACGCTTATTTGTAAGAGTGCACGTAAATATAGTATTCAAGAGTTACTGTTGACCTAAATTTGATTGTCGACGTGGTGGTGTTAGTGTCGACGTGGTGGTGTTAGTGTCGACGTGATGATGTTGGTGTCGACGTGATGATGTTGGTGTCGACGTGATGATGTTGGTGTCGACGTGATGATGTTGGTGTCGACGTGACGGTAGTATTATTGTCGACGTGAAGGTGTTAGTATCGACGTGGTGGTGTTAGTGTGGACTTAATGACGATGTTAATGTCGACATGCTTGTAATAATAATAATAATAATAATAATTAACGGTTTATTGAAAGAGCTTGGCAGCCAGAAGGCTGAAAATATACAGTTACATATTTGGGGAATGGGTTACGAATTACAAATAATATACAAGTAACATAAGTGACACAAATAAGACATATAATAACTAGATGGGGAAAAGCTCAAACTAAGAACATAAGAACATAAGAATGGAGGAAACTGCAGCGGGCCTATTGGCCCATACTGGGCAGTTCCGTTTACACCCAACCCCTATTGCTCCAACCTATGTTTGAAGCAATTCAGCGAATTCGAGTTAATGATGATATTTGGTAACTTGTTCCATTCATCAACTACTCTGTTTCCAAACCAGTGTTTACCTATTTCACGCCTAAATCTAAATTTGTCTAATTTAAAACCATTGTTACGAGTTCGCTCCTGGTTGGATAATTTGAGTACCTTTGTAATGTCCCCTTTGTTTAGCCCTGTCTTCCACTTATACACCTCTATCAGGTCGCCCCTCGCTCTACGTCTCTCGAGGGAGTGCAAATTAAGATAACTATACTCAAGGTTCCTAATGCCCGGGATTAGTCTTGTCATTCTCCTCTGAATTCTTTCCAAGGATTCTATATCCATTCTGTAATACGGTGACCAGAACTGAACTGCGTAATCCAGGTGTGGTCTCACAAGAGCAAGATACAGTTTTAGGATGACCTCGCTAGTCTTGTAACTAACACTCCTTTGTATGAACCCAAGTACTTTATTAGCCTTGTTACGAGCAAAAACACATTGTTTACTTGGCTTAAGGTTCCTACTTATCATTACTCCTAAATCTCGCAGTCGGATTTCTATGGCATCGTTGTTCATCTGGTATCTGGTTTCCTGTTTACATCTCCTATACTGAGTACTTTACATTTGTCGACATTGAATTTCATCTGCCATTTTTTCAGACCATTCGAAAAATTTGTTTAGATCTTCCTGTAGTTTTGCCGAGTCCTCGTCAGATTTGATAACACGTCCTATTTTAGTGTCATCAGCAAATTTACTTATGTTGCTGTCTTTGCCGATATCTATGTCGTTTATGTATATAATAAACAATAATGGTCCAAGTACTGAGCCTTGGGGAACTCCACTTGTGACGTTGCTCCAATGGGACTTAGTGCCGTTAATGCTCACTCGCTGTTTCCTGTCCTGTAACCACGCCCTAATCCAT